AACAAAGAAAACGCAACATGAGGACGCTTAGGGGAGACTCAAAGTTTTGTACTTTTCGTAATTATGCTACAAAAGATCGGCAAATGTTTTTCGCAAGGTTCTCATACAACCCTCTCTCTCTCCTCTCTCTCTCTCCTCTCTCTCTCTCTCTCTCTCTCTCTTCTCTCTCTCTCTCTCTCTCTCTCTCTCTCTCTCTCTCTCTCTCTCTCTCTTTCTCTCTCTCTCTCTCTCTCTCTCTCTCTCTCTCTCTCTCTCCTCTCTCTCTCTCTCTCTCTCTCTCTCTCTCTCTCTCTCTTCTCTCTCTCTCCTCTCTCTCTCTCTCTCTCTCTCTCTCTCTCCCGCTCCCTCTCTCTCTCCGCTCCCTCTCTCTCTCCCCTCTCTCCTCCTCCTCTCTCCCGTCTCCCTCTCCCCCTCTCCCCTCTCCCCTCCCCCCCCACCCCACTCTCTCTCTCTCTCTCTCTCTCTCTCTCTCTCTCTCTCTCTCTCTCTCTCTCTCTCTCTCTCTCTCTCTCTCTCTCTCTCTCTCTCTCTCTCTCTCCTCACCCTCTCCCTCCCTCTTCCTCTCTCTCTCCCTCCCTCCTTTGCTCTCTCCTCTCTCCTCCTTTCCCTCCTCCCTCCTCCCTCCTCTTCCTCTCTCTCCTCACTCCCCCCTCCCTCCCTCTCACCCTAGAACCCTCGCCCTCACTCCCTCTAATCAGACCACCCCATACAGCCTACGAAATCCTAACTCCTTTTACCTCTTCCACAGGACGGCGTAGAACTCACAGACGAAGAACTAGGAGGAGAGTCGCGCCTGACGAAGCACTACCTGCACCTCCTGAACCTGAGGCCAATGGACAGTGCCATATACACCTGCGCTGCCGCCAACTCCGTAGGTGCCGTGACTGCCAACTGGACGGTCAGGGTCATAGGTAAGGCTGGAGGCTTCGTTAGTACTAAGTGGACGATTATTTTTTTGTTTTTGTTTTCTTTCGAGTTTTGCTCACGTCATTGTTTATTTTTATAGAAGGGGATGGAGTGTATTACATTGACCAAGGCATTACATTAGTTTTTTTGTATATATATATATATATTATATATATATATATATATATATATAATATATATATATATGTATGTATGTGTGTGTGTGTGTGTGTGTGTGTGTGTGTGTGTGTGTGTGTGTGTGTGTGTGTGTGTGTGTGTGTGTGTGTGTGTGTGTGTGTGTGTGTGTGTGTTTGTGTTGTGTCTCTCTCTCTCTCTCTCTCTCTCTCTCTCTCTCTCTCTCTCTCTCTCTCTCTTCTCTCTCTCTCTCTCTCTCTCTCTCTCTCTCTCTCTCTCTCTCTCTCTCTCTCTCTCTCGAACATGTAAGAGAATCATCATTTTCATATGTTGCCATTCTCTTACTTACCAACCTTTTGTCTGTACAGGCCAAGCTCGCCCTCGAGAACCGGAATTCAACCCCCAAGATCCAGCTAACACCACAGTCGTAGAAGGGTCAGTGGCAACGTTCCAGTGCAGTGGGACGTCGGAGGTCACCCCACATATAAAGGTCAGTGGAGTTTGTTTTCATCTTCAGAAATAGTGACGTGATAGCCTGGAGATTTAACCTTATATAGTATTTTTGAATTTATACTATTTGACTGGCACTTTTGAATTTACACTGTTTTACTAGTACTTCATAATTTATACTATTTGACAAGCACTTTGGAATTTATATTATTTGACTAGCACTTTCGAAGTTATAAGATTTGACTAGTCCCCCTGACTTTATACTGTTTGATTTGTACCTTTGAATTTATTACTTTTAAGGTTGACTTTGTGAGTATGGTTTTGGATAGTCATCAATACCCCATACCATGTATTTATCATTAATTCCCCAACAGTGGCTCCGTCGCCTGGAAGATGGCTCCTCTGATGGCAACTATGTCCATGAGAACCAGACAATCAACTGGAAGGGTCATCGGTATGTTGTTCTCCAGGCTGCCCAAGTCCTCACGCCCGGGGATGGGTCATTCTACACGAAGGTGAGTCCTAAGAAAGCTTTCGTGTATTCAGTAACCTTGCAAGGCTTCTGAAATTTCTGCAACTTTTTTTTTTATTGGTTTGGAGGAGAATAGTTGTTATGGAATTTGAAGTGGAGAGTCTTTTTGATGTTATCTTTTTGATAAAGAATAATTCAGGATTTTTAAAAATATCACACCTAAATAAGGTTAAATGAGTAAATGATGAGATGATTTTATAGTATTTAAAACAACACATATTTTCAGCTTGTGATACCCAGAGCCTCGATGCAAGATGTTGGATTTTATGTCTGCACTGTGACAAACAGTTTTGGCTTAGACTACAGACAAGCATATCTTTCAGTGATTAGTAAGTATAAAATAGGCACATATCCTTGATTTTTTTTTTTTTATTAGATATACACTGATTTTATAGTTACTCATATTAGTGGTTAGACAGAGTATTACTAACATATCTGCATATCATTAAAATTAATTTATATACACTGCATTCATGAGGTATAATATACCTAGGTCTTGTATTAAAATGTTCTTCATTACTTGCAGCTGAGACTTCTGAAAGCAACATGTTAATGCTTGTAGTTGGTCTGGGCTGTGTGGCAGGATTAATTGTAGTCATTGTAATAGTGATGACTGTTCGCCGCGTCCAGACCAGCAAACCACCCCCACCCCCAGGCCCAAGTGAAGGGGCTCTGTTGCCACCACCTCCCATGAACCAAGGAAAGATGCAGCCCCCGCCAGCACACCACCCCCGCTATGTGCCCCAGACAGCCAAGCACAACAGTCAACAGGGCACTCCACATGGACATGCTGTAGGCCCAGAAGGACCTTTGCTGCAGTATGCTGGGGGCGTGGTGCACCTTCCTCCTCAGTCTGCCATGGCAGGAGGTGGCCAAGGGGCACAGCCGATTATTGTATATCAAGACCCAGCCACTGCTGCTTCTGTCTACATTGCCCAGCGACCACAGGCACCTGCAGCATCTGTGGGGAGACCTGAATATCAGTACCAACATCTGGATGTCATATGATCACGAGACAGACTAGTGTAGTGGGGGCATGTTGGGCGTATCTTATGCTACAGGTTTTTCGTTAAACATTGCTGGTCACTTTGAAAATTTACTAAATGTCAGAGGTCTGGTGACTTTTACTGTATTTCATTAAAAAACTGATACAGTGATATAAGCAGACCATGTACTGTACTTTAGTATCATATTCTGAACATTTTAACAAGAATCTGTGATAAAGATGAAAGTTACAATTTGTTCAACTTTTATCATGTCCTTGAAAGATTTCAGAACTTACAAAAGAAATAGAGCTAACAAGCTAAAAATAGTTTTTCCTTGTTGGTGTGAGTAGAGAACCATTATCTCTAGTCTGTCATAAACAATAAGAGTCCCTTGTAAATAATATATTATTTTGTCAGATGATTGTGTTGTAGACTTACTGTGAAGGTTGGGATGGAGAGTAACCCTACTTGAAGTCAATGTTTTACAGCATGCTACAGTTAGTTCATTACCAACCATGTGTTTTAAGCTTCTTATCATCCTAATTTGTATCCATATTTTGCCTCTTCAATGTTAATTCCTTGCAAACTTAGGATGAAAATGTCCCAAGCTAATACAAGTTTATTCACATCAAGCAATTCCACCTTAATTGAAGAAAGTTGGAGTCTAGTCAGGCGCTGTCATGTTTTCATTTGTTTATGTGTTTCCAATCTGTACAGTACATTATATAGGTAGATGTTGATGCATTGCAGTGAAATAGTTAATTCCAGTTTAAAGTTCTTTTCCATGTTAATTTTTAAGGCAACTGTAGTTATTTGAACTATGGTATTTTTTATATGTGCCAAAGGAGATGCTAATTAGGCTATCACATAGAGAAACATGTTAAAAAGGAGGGATATCACAACCATTATTTTTTTTTTTCATTTCTCATTGCTGCTTTTTATAACTCTTGGAAAGAGGGGAAAATGTCTTAATATAGGTTGGTATTAGTGCCTCAAAATTTGTGGGAATATGTGATAATCTATTTTATTTAAGATTATAAAGAATAATTTCTCTTTGGCATAATTTTCCTACAATGGAAAGGTTTATGTTGCATGAAAGGATTCCTTGTGTTTTCTCCTTTATAGTGAAATATAAAGTGTAAAAAATATATATATTTTACTGTGGCCATTTGGCTTTGTTATATGACACAGTTTTCCAAAACATTTTTTTAATAGAGTGAAGCTACGAAGGTTTTGTTTATGTAAGGGTAATAGTTGCAACATTGAACCTGTGATCGGATGTGCTTCAGTAATCTCATTATGTGAAGGGAGAATCAGGCTTAGGAATTTGATTTTCTCAGCTTAAGACAGAAGGCATGCGGAGAAGGGCAACTGCCTGAAACAGTAATGGTGTCTTGTAAAATGGAAAAATTGCAAAGGTTAATTGAGGGAGGTAAGACAGCATTCTAGTGCAGGCTTGTGCATCTTGGAAAAATTAAGATTGCACTGCTTTGCATGATGATACAATCTCAGCTTATTCAAGAAAGCTTTTTATATAAACATTAAATATTTAGAGACCATTGAACTGTGAATATATTTACAGTCTAATTACACACTACCTATGTCTTAAGGAAGTGCAGCTATGCTCCTTGTTTTAGAGAGAGATATTGTAAATAATTACAGTATAGCATGTTGTACCTGAGGAGATCAATTTGAATACTCTACATATCTGGTAGTAACAGTGGTAAGCCATTTGACAAGAGGTTGTAAAGAGAAGGCAAGGTTCATTGTAAGTGACCTAATGCAAGTATTTAGGTCAATATTGTCACTATTAGGAGCTTCCATTGCTTTGGCATTGTGTCCAAACATGCAAGTTTCAAGTTATATAGTCAATATCATCATAAATATAAAATGATATTTGTAATGGCATTGCTTTGCCTTGTCACTGAAGTTGTTAAATCATTAAACTATGCACTGGTTTCAATCAGAGGTGAAGACAGTGGCATGTGTTACTTTAATTTGTTATTTTCCTTTATTTTCTGGGATACAAGCAAATACTTGGAACGTCATGATTTGTTCATTTTCTACCAATACAAATATTTATAAGCGACACTATCACTCCCTCCAAATGTATAAATAATAAAAAAATATATGTATAAATCCTAGTTGCATTCTCTGATTACAAGCTACCAAGAAACTATCTTATATTTTTTACATTTTTCTGCTCATTGGCCAGCTTGCTTCTGCACCTAGATTTATTTTTAAAAAGCTGGTTTGTGAATATATGCTTTACTTACCTTTTAGTTCTGATATTTTGTTACAGGTTTTGAACATTTGCATAATGTAAGTGTGGGTATAACTAAGGCAAAATCAGTGGAATTATGAGGCTGAATCCAAACAATAATGTTCATTTTAATGCTCATCATTCATACGATACACTCTAATATTTATAATGGATATAAGGTCTTCATGCAGGAATATCTCTTAATAGACTTTGCAATAACTCCTTTCCTAAATGTATGTGTTCATGTACATGACTTTTGTGTGTGTGTGTGTGTGTGTGTGTGTGTGTTTGTGTGTGTGTGTGTATATGTATATGTATATGTATGCATGCATATGTGTATAGGTGTATACTATACTTATATGCATATGCATAAATATAAACACACACACGCACACACACACGCACACGCACACACACACACACACACACACACACACACACACACACACACACACACACACACACACACACACACACACACACACACACACACACACACACACACACACACACACACACACACACACACACACACACACACACACATATATATACATACAGACATATACATGTGTGTGTGTGTGTGTGTGTGTGTGTGTGTGTGTGTGTGTGTGTGTGTGTGTGTGTGTGTGTGTGTGTGTGCGTGTGTGTCTGAAGACCTTATTTACTGTTTAAAGTGAAAATTAGAATGTCTAACACGAATAATAATAACAAATGGCCTAAGGATCAGTTTGAACATATGTTCGGAGGAGTGATAAATTAAAATGAAATATTTGTCAGAACTAATTAATGGTCAGAAATCCGTGTCATAGTTTGAAAGATATTTTAAGAAATTGTTCTCTTCCAACTATACAACCAAAATATTGAAAGGGCAGAGTGTTCTCTTCATTCATGTCTAATTTCACCGTAATTTTCTCGTTTTTCTTAGAAAGTCTAGTGCACAATATTACCAAGCATTTACACCAGTGAATCAAATCAGTAATAAATGTTGTGTTAGTGACTATCAATATTCATTTTTCTATATCGAGGGGAAAGTACACTTCACAGATTGTCAATAATTAGTGACTGATTAACAGATAGGTGAAGATAATCATTTATCATTTGAGTACAGTATTATCCAGACATGCTATTTCAGACAGTCCTTAGCATGCTCTCAAGTACATATTTCTCCCTGTAGTAAAAAAGTATAATACCATAACTTGGTAATGGTTTGCCCTTTACCATTTCATGCACTTTGTTTCATTTTTCATACAAAGCACAGTAGGATATGATGGATATTTATTGATGAATATATTTATTTTGCCGATAGCTATTTTAATATGAAACTGATATTGACAGTCATAAAATGTTTGTTTATATTATTTTGATTTAAGAAATCTGCTTTGCTTGATCAGTATGGATCACTGACTCAATTTGAATATAATGTTAAGTAAAGATGAACTTGTGAATCCACTTAACAGTATGTAAATGCATATTTTTCAAAACTACCCATGAAAATAACACTCATTGCCTAATATCCAGATCTGGACTTAAAGAATCATAAACCAGTCATACATTCACTTGTAAATTTTAGCCTTATAATAATCCCATACACAATTGTATCTTGTGTTTGTGAACAATGAAACTGCCTTTGCTGTGTATGCCATGTATAAGCTGTTGAATTGCACAATTCAAGTCTTTATATTTACATTATTGTATTTTTGCCTATTTGTTTTAGCTTGTCTGTTTCCAATTAGCTCATCAGAACCTTTGCATAACTTCTTTAATATGTAATATCATTCTTATATATGTGATAGTATAGAGACTTGTAAATGTTTGGCCATTACATACCTTTTTCACAACGGAGAAATACTTACATTTAAAAACTTGTGTGATTTTGAACTGCCACTGTAACTGTGACTGAACACTGATTGCAATATATAAATATATATAAACCAGACGAACACAAACGCTTTAAGCATCACAATTCAGCTAACAGAAAAAAAACGTCAAGAAAGAAATTAATGGAGTAAACTATTTACATGCATGAAACCTAGAATCCATGAAAAAAGTAGGTAGATGTATATAAAAGACACTAACCAAGTGGCACCAATGAGCTTCAGGGAAAGTATTTCAGCTTCCACCACACATATTGCCAGATAAGTCATTCATGTCACCCCGGCCCTCTTCTGTGTCATTAGCCAAGTGTCAGAGGGTTGATATATTTTATGATATTTAGTGTAAAGAAAGTAAAAGATTACCAAATTTTTCTGAAATAAATGTAGCCTTGTCTGTATAATGCAAAGAGTTTGTTCTTTGAGCTTTCACAACATATGTGTTTACAGTATGGAATATAGATATTTTTGTTGATTTTTGTTTTTGCCATATATCCTGAAATTAGAAGAAAATTTGGAGGATGTTTGTATGCTATTCATGAGGAATTTTTGTTGGAACTTTTCCTCATTAGACTGATACACTGCACAGTATGAAAAATATTTAAATAAAACAGAACTCTTCTAAAACTGTATAGTAAAGGTAACCTATAATATGAAATTTAATATCCCAGTGGACAATTCCACAATCAAAAAATATGTACCAGTAATATATATGTGTAAATATGCAATTTATAGAGTGTGAGAGATGAATTAAATCCCATGTACTCAAAAACAACATTCTCATTGTGTATAGGTGTGTCTCAGCGTATGTTCAATTCAGTGTGTTGTATGTGCTGACAAATCTTTTCATCTTTATACAGATATTCCTAGAAATGTTTCACTCCCTTTTCCTCCTAGCCTTTTTCTCTATCTATTGTTGTACTGTAGGCATAATTGTGAGATAGACCTTACCAGTCTTCGAGAAGGAGAAAAATAACATGAAAGAAACAAAAAGCTTATATGTATACTAGAGAGGAGATCCTATTCCAGTTCTTAAGGAAACAGGAAACAGAGAGAGAGGGAGAGAGAGGGAGAGAGAGAGTAGAGAGAGTAGAGAGAGAGAGAGAGAGAGAGAGAGAGAGAGAGAGTAGAGAGAGAGAGAAGAGAGAGAGAGAGAGAGAGAGAGAGAGAGAGAGAGAGAGAGAGAGAGAGAGAGAGACAGAGACAGACAGACAGACAGACAGACAGACAGACAGACAGACAGACAGACAGACAGACAGACAGACAGACAGACAGACAGACAGACAGACAGACAGACAGAGACAGAGACAGAGACAGAGACAGATATGAACCTACTCATTGTAACAAATGTAGAAAAGGTATGAATGGGAATGAATGTCTTCACATTTTAGTTAACTAGACTCAATTATATCTTTGTCAAAATCGTAATTCTGCCTAAAACCAGTTTAATACATCTCTTGTATTGTGAAGATATTCTCAAGATATTCATTTTCATTCAGACTTTTTCTACAAGAGAGAGAGAGAGTGTAGTGTCATTTGTACAATTACCCAATTGAACTGGGTGTGTGTATGCATGTGCATATAGAAGCATATACCGTATACATGAGTACACAAAATATTACGTCTGAACATCAGCTTTACTCCCTCTAAAGGAATTAAAATCACACAGAATGAAGTTGTGATAAAAAAGGCCTTACTCAAAATGATTTTTCACTGGAACTTCAAAGAGCAGATTCCTCTGAGAAGCAACATGGCTGAGAGACATGATAAATAAATAAATAAATACACCACGACCACCTCCAACAGCACATAGAATTATCCAAAGGTTCAGATTGGGTGAATCGGAGATGTGCACACTCAAAATGTTTCATAGTCTTGCATGTCAGAGATGTAGGTGTTCAGTATGATTTATAACCGTCCACTGTACCACCAGGACCACAGGGGACCCAGTGCGCTACTTCTTTCTCAACATAATACTTAGAGATACCAAGGAAATATATGTATCACTGTCTTCAGACTGCCACTGGCCTTGTGTACTCTGAAGGCTTATCCACAAAGATCTATTCATACTTACTACACCCCAGAACCCTTACAAATAATGCAGTGAATATTTTTTTTCCCCAATTGACCTCCCCTGGGAATGTGAACCTTTTGTTAAAATGTATATATTCTGTAATTGATGTGTTTTTCCCAAAGGCATATCAATAAATGTGAAGATTCATAAAGTTGTGTTTTTCTCTCACTCTTTGTTAGTAAATTGCTGAAGAAGACGTGGCTGTAAAGATTAATACATAAACACACGTGCAGCTATATATAAATGTGTATATATATATATCTGTATATATACAGACATATATGTATACATATATATATATATATATATATATATATATATATATATATATATATATATATATATATATATATGCATGCATGTGGGAGGGGGGTGCGTGCGTGCCTGTGTGGGCGTGTATTACTGTATTAATATTACCATCAACAGAGGCTGGGCTTCCATCTTCCACTTCGGTTTTTTTTTATTCTCAATTATCAAATTTCCATCTTCCACTTCGTTTTTATTATTTTCAATTATCAAGTTTCATTTTCACTTTCGTTACCAGAAGCTTGAGAAACAGCAACTTTTATAGGTATTTCCCTTGTCGCTTAAAGAAGTTTCAACTTCAACTGCAAAAAATCTGCCTGACAGGACGCTGCCAATGATTCTTCAGGTGTCCCGTCGATTTGTTTTTGTCACTTTGCACTGTGAAGGCAGAAGATGTATTTGGAAATGATATACGAATAATGAGCGAGAAAGTAAAGTAATAAGGTGGAACCATGAGTGCGTTTTCAACATTTT